ATGTTATGTTTTGCTTTTCCTTTGTTCTTCTTTTCATTTCTTTATTGCCTTGTAGGTTGCTTGAACATAATAATGGAATTCTAATTTGACTTATCTACAATTTTTTAAAAATCATATTCTTTGTATACCTGTTTGCTCTAGGTGTCAGATTTTAACATAAAAAGGAATGGTTGTCGTAATTGCCTTTTTTTTTTAATTGTAGGATCCTTTGACTTCTTGTCACTCCAGCTGTCTTTAAACTACTTGCATTCTGTTCAGTACCATTATAATTTTCAAGAACTTTGCCCATATGCCTAGATAAGTTTAATTTTGTGTTACACACTTAAATGGGTTGACGCAGCGAATTCCCACTAAAGATCTTTGTCTGAAATAATAAATCATGTCTCTTTCAATATTAGAGGAATATTTGCTGAATTAAATATTTCAGTTCGTTTAAGCTAAGTTCATTCAGTTCATTTGAGCTGGTGGCCATGTCTTAGATTTAATGTTAGTTGCAGTAATTTGACTTTTCTGTTTTATTAGTGTAACTTTCTTTTTTATCCTATGTGGTTTGATAGTATTTTGGTAAAAATATAGCATTGGGCTTTCTACCCTGCAGCATTATTTATTGGTACTGTTATATTCACTGGTATGCTCTAGGTTTAGTGGCTTATAGTTGGTCCTATAATCAGAGGGTCTGTTACTATACATACAATATTGCATATTGTTGAAGTGTAGATCCTTTGGGTTTACAGTTTTATGTTAACTATGTTATATTGTAGTAAATATAAGGTAGTGTTTTGCATTGTAGTCAGTAGAGATTTGTGGAAATGAATACTTAATAAGAATATAGATTTCCAATATCATGATTTAAAATCAAATTGTTTTCTCCTCAGAGTGACAAAAAGAGTAGTCCCCAGAAAGAAGTTAAATATGAGCCTTTCTCTTTTGCTGACGGTAAGTGGAAAAAATTATTTCAGTTGAGTTGCTGTGTGTGTGTGTGTGTATGTGTGTATGGTAAAATTACTGTCTTGGCACTTACCTATTTATTTCAGATATCATGCTTTAAAAAGAAAGATTTCTTAAAATACAATTTACTTTAATTAGACCGGTCTTTTTAGCAGGTAGTTCTATGAATATCATACTTCCTAAAATTCTTCCATAAATCCTTAACTTTAAACTGTAGTATCTTACTGAATTCTAATAATAAAGTAGTACTTCTCTAGGCTGACCTTCAGTTTTCTTGCTTGGTACCTAGCTTGAGAAAGCACGTGTCTGTTCATTGTTTGATATTGTTGGATTTACATCTTTCCTTAGACATTGGCTCCAATAACTGTGGATACTATGACTTACAAGCAGTGTTAACACATCAGGGAAGGTCTAGCTCTTCAGGCCATTACGTATCATGGGTGAAAAGGAAACAAGGTAAGGATTCTGTTGTTTGTTTTGTTTTTTTCAGTTGTTAATTATTTTAATAGTTTATTTAGTACACATCTTGTATCACAGTGGTTTTCAAACTTTCTGGTCTCAGAACCCCTTTACATTCTTAATTGTTGAGGTCCACAAAGAGCTTTTTGTTTGAGGATTCTCTTAATATTTACTATAATAGAAATTAAAACTGAGAAATTCATTGGAAACCAACAATAATAAACCCATTACTTATCACATAAATAGCTATATTTTCCAAAACAAAAAAATAACAAGAAATAGTATTGATTTGTTTTTGTAGGCCTGTTTTGTTTGGTTTAGTAGGAGACAGCTGGATCCTCCTGTTTCTGCATATTTAGTCTCTTTATCACACATCGTGTGACTTCTGGAAATTTCCAAAGCACACTTGAGAGAATGAGGCATAAAGGCAAATAATGCTTTAGTAGTGTTATGAAAATAATTGTGATCTTCATGGGACTCCTGAAATGGTCTTGAAGCCTGAGTAGTCCCTGGACTACACTTTGAAAACTTAGTATGGCACATGGAATACTGCTGTGCACAAAATGACTCCGTGCCTTTTTTGAACTGGAACTGAGAAAACCATTATGATGTTAATTTAATTTTCTTCTCTTGTTCTTTAGATGAATGGATTAAGTTTGATGATGATAAGGTCAGCATCGTGACACCAGAGGATATCTTGCGGCTTTCTGGTGGTGGAGACTGGCATATAGCATATGTTTTACTCTATGGGCCTCGCAGAGTTGAAATAATGGAAGAGGAAAGTGAACAGTAATCTACATTTTAGCTATTTATGTGTAGGTGTGAAATAAATGTTATTTGTTGACCATTTGTGTAATCCAGAGCTGTAGAGGAAGATATTTAGGTGGTTTTATGTTTCCCCTCTCATGTGGAACAAAAGAGGGCAAAGCAGACCACTAGTGGATCAACCTAAAAAAAAATTACAGAAAAAAGAAAATTGCCTTTGGACTGTGCTGCCCTGTTAAGGGTTGCAGGAAGACATTTTTAAAAAGCTTATTTCTTGCATTAATTTTTAAAAATTCTGATTTGAAATGCCTTTCACCTTCTGTGATAAATTTTTTCTCCGACTTTTTCAGCCCAGGATTCAGCAATCAGATGTTTATTGCACACCTATTACTCTTGTTTTGTTGTTGTTCTTGCATGGTTCAAACCACCGGTGATTCATAGCTGCCCATCCTTTGCCTTATCTAACAAAAATTTTGCCAGGATGTGGAAAGGAAGTAAGTGTTGCTCTCATTGTGTTACTCAGTGCTGCTGCCTACATCCCATGGAAACATGGGTACAATCAAGTATTTGTCCAGCCTGACTGTTGCTGGCTTTTCATGACTTTAAAATAAATTGTGATCAGTAATAGTACATTTGATTATACATTTATTATTGTGTGTCTCTGATGTACTATGGTTTGTATATTTAACTTTGCAATGGTTTTGTAGTAATCAACCTTAAAAGAAGTTGACAAGCTCTGGTTGCTTATTTTTAGAATATGAGACTATTTAATAAAAAAAAAAAAAGGGAAGAAGAAAAGAAAAAAAGAGGGACTAACAGCTTCTGACCTCAAGTCTTTTGTCTGAGTGTTGGAGCTTGGGTTAAGTTTAGGTGTATCTAGTATCCTTTAGTTGCTGCAGGTGGTTAGTTTTACTCTGCTGTTAAGCATCCATTGAAAAATGTTCTCTCCTGTCCTCTCACATTATGTTCTGTTTAAAAGAAATATAAAGTTGTAAAAGTAACAGAATTCTTTGGATGCTGAATGCAACGATGCTTATTGGTCTATCTTTCCCTTGGCTCAGTTGATGCTTTTACTCTCGTCTGTTCTCAAGATCTTCATGTCTCAGAATTTAATAGCAGTGATTTTTAAAGTGATCGTAAAAATACCAAGAGTAAGTGGTGTTTCACTATGGTAGGTTTCTTACATTTTAATACATTCTCTAATTCCTCATTTTTGTTTCAAGAGCCTTGATTGCTAGACAGACGTTAGGAAATGAGCTCATTTGTCTCTGATTATGAGTTAGGTATATAAAATGAAGTTGGGGGATTATCATGAAATTTCCTTACGCTGTTTTCATGCTCTGCAGAGCACAGCACTGGAACTATTAGATTCCTAGAGAATAATGACCATTTTCCTCTCAACTTCAAACAATGTGATAAACTCTGAAAACGCTAGGGGATAAAATAAGCATTTCAGGGAAACTTTTCTGTAAATACCTTCTTCAGCTAAATGAGAGGGGAAGGTACAGAATAGAACGGGAAGAGGATACCATAAGAAGGGTAATGATTTTTAGATATTGCTATGATGCTTGTGACTGCATTTTTTTATTCACTGTCTTACTTGGTGTGAACAATTTTGAGGATGTAAATTTAGCAGTTAGAATTCTGATTTGCAGGATGTTATAGCTACTAGATGAAGTGAGGTAGGTTTAGAACAAAGTATATGTCTTCTATGGAGTTAGAATTTTAAAATTATAATTCTTTGTTATAAAAATTGATTTCATTTTATTTGATCCAAATAAGCATTATTCCAAAGATTTTTTTTTAAGTATAAGAAATTGGACTTAACACCAGTGTTTTAAACAAGGCTGTTTGAGAGTTCAGCCTTGCATATAAGGTCTTTGGGAGAGTGGTCAAGAAAATGTCTTGACTCCTGAGTGTGCCTTATATGCTGTGCCATGAAGCACTGAGGCCCTTTTGATATTAGAGCTGTACTGGATTACCGGTGGACTAGTTTGTGAAGTTAAGCCCAACCAAGAACATTTATGGTATAAAATGCACTTTGCAGCCTTTCAGGATTCAAAACAATGATGACCTAATGTTAGGGCCCTTGAAGGGTAATTATGCTTCTCTGAGAATGGGAAAAGTAGATGGTACAGTCTCTAGCCATTACTACACATAGCTTTGCTGTTTATAGACTGCTTTCATCTACAACAATCCCATAAGTATGCATCCCAATTTTAAGGACTTAGGAGGTTTGTAAATAATCATAAAATTATTTGTAATCTCTGTAAGGCTAAAAGGACTACGTTTAAGACTTTATCCTATTTCTTTTGAAGTAGGGGGTTGGCAAACATTTTCAATGGGTGGGGTGGATAGTAAATATTTTAAGTTTCACAGTCTTTCTTGCAACTACTTAACTCTGCTGTTGTAGCTTGAAAGGAGCCATAGAGGATATTTAAAGGAATCAGCATAGCTGTGTACTGATAAAATTCTACTTGTAAAAACAGTTGGGAAATGGACCATTGTTTACTGATTCTCTGCTTTTAAAGCATGAAGACTCGTCACATGGTTTCAGAAAGTCATTCTGGGATTTTCAGAAGAGCAAGTTAAATTTTGTAACTACTAATGGCATGCAGGAAATGAAGTTGGCATAGTGTATTTTAGGAAACACCATACTCCCTAAATAACTGCTTACTAGCTTCATTGTAAGTATTTTAACAAAAATATGTGACCTTTAGTTTGGCCATTTTCCCAACCTACTCCTATCTCCTGAAACCCTGAGGTCAGTTATCAAGAGCCAATATGCATTCTGTTGTTCTTGGAGCACCAGCCAACTGTACAACAACTGTTATAAAAATGTTTATTGTTTACCAAAACCATTGGACCTCTTTATCAAATGCTGCTTGGTAACAAAATCTTATCATAGTTTTAATAAAAAAAAAAAAAAAGAAAGAAAGAAAGAAAGAAGCTAACTATTTGTCTCATTGTCATTAGTTAGACTTTCTGCAAGGTCACTTAATCCGGACTTATTTAGTGCGTTCATCAGATTCTCAGGTGTTGCATGTACTCCCTCTTGATCTTGCCAGGCAACTAGTAGCTGCTTAGCTCTCATCTTCATGTCTTCGCTGTCACACTCAATTTGTCTAATTTCTGAGTCTTTCATTTCCAAGTAGGGAGCCAGGATCTTCCACTGCTCACCCAGTTTACTGGCAAACACCTCTATCTGTTCCCCTGTTACAGGTTTGTCTCGCCGAACATCAGGGCCTAGAAAACACAGGAAATGTCAATTATGTACAAAGCACAAAGATATGTACAATTCAAAATATACAACAGAACTGAGAAGATACGGAGCCACTAAACTATTAATCACCGTTCATAAGCTTTTTTTTTTTTTTTTTTTAAGATTTTATTTATTTATTCATGAGAGGCACAGAGAGAGAGGCAGAGACATAGGCAGAGGGAGAAGCAGACTTCCTGCGGGAGCCCGATGCAGGACTCAATCCCTGGACTCCGGGATCACACCCTGAGCCAAAGGCAGATGCTCAACCACTGAGCCACCCAGATGCCCCTCATAAGCTTTATTTTAAAAGGAAAACAGCGCCTTTCTATATTTTCCATGGGTTGAATATTATTTTTATAGTCATGATCACCAGGAAAGCAATACTTTTTTTTTTTTTTTTTTTTTGGAATCAATACTTCTAAAGCCAAAGCTGCTGCCTGCATCTATTGTTAATTATGAAGCAGCTGCTCCCTTCTAATTGCCACCCCCACTCCCCTAATTAAAGGGTGAGTTTCTTTCAAATATAAGTACTCTCCTTCCCATCACTTCCAAATTGTACTGCATAAAATGTATTTAAAAATTCCTCACTATAAGAAACAGTTGAGATAAATGGTAGAAGTTGAGAAGTAGATCAAATAACGTACCTCTCAACAAAGAACCCCAATCTTTTCCAATTTTGTAAAAGAGCCAAGAAAATTCAATTCTTACTTTCATTTTCCTTCAGTAAAGCATCATTATCTTCCTCATCTTCATCCTCACCTGTTTTTATTTCTTCAGAAGGAGGCTAAAATGAGGAAGAAGAATGTTTAAAAAGAATGCCAACTTGTAAAATAACTGGGATACTTTTGGTTTAGACATGAGTGGTTGAGATTACCCACAGAGGGCCCAGCACTTTACCCTTGAGCATGTTAAATGTGAACGTCAGGTAAGGATCACAAATGGGATGGTGTTAACCTGGAGAAGGAGTGGATGGGAAAGACTCCCCTTCCCCCACACATGGGAAAAAGGGAGCCAGTAAGGTACGGTAAGACGATTTGGAAATATGTAGTATATGGTAAAAAAGGGCTGGAGAAAAATACGGAGCAACCAGGTTCTTAAAATTTTTGAGTCATTTTATAGTATAGTCATGACCATTTTATAGTAAACAATGAGAAAACTATTGGAAAAGAGAGCAGAGAGAAGGATAGGCCAAGATGCCTACTGCTACCTGTTGTAGATTCCTTTTGATAAAAAGACAATGCATTGGCAAAAAAATTCAAGTCTGAGTTTACAAGTGGGATAACTGTTTAACCAAAGTACTGTGGGCTTTAATAAACTTTTTATAGAGCATAAAGTTTAAGTTACTTTATCACTTTATGTACTTCCTAGAAATGTATACTCAAATGCATTTTTTTCTTATTCTTAAACATGGAGGTTTGCAGAGGATTTTTTTCCCACATGATAAACTGTACATTCAGATTCTTAGCGATAGTAGTTTTAAATAACAGGTAAAGAATATGAAAACATTGATTTATATATATGTTACTTACTGGTAATTCCTTTGCTAGCTTTATTACCATGTTTTCAAGATATTCTGGCAAACTTTTAAACTGCTGGTTGGTTGGCTGGAAGAAGTGAGGGCTTCTTCGTGCTAATAGTCTCAGGGCTCTCCAACCATAATTTGAATTGTTCACAGCTCTATGAAAAGAAATGTCAATCTTGTATTATGGTTTTTTATTTTATTTTATTTTTGGTTTTTTATTTCTATATGCCTTCTAGTTGATGTAACTTATCATGTGACATTCTATACTGTTAAGTAGCTGAAGGCGCACCATTCTTTTCATTCTGATCTTACTCCTAAAGAACCTCTCAGAATGCAGTACACTTATAATACTAGAAACCAGCAGAATCTGCCAAAGCAGGTTCACATGCAGCAAACACACTTGAAAAGTTTATACATTTTACTTAATTTTAAAAAGTCCGTTTGTTTGTGGTACTATGTTAGTTAGAACATAGATGTTCTATGTGCAAGACAGTAATCATCTACCTATTTAGAAAAAAAATAATCGGTTTCCTTTATTCAGTGAGTTGATATCCATACTGGCAATGCCACTGGCAAGTGTGAATTTCAGAATATTTTATAAATTCAGCACTGAGCTTGGACCATATTAATCCAATCAATACATCATTTTCCATCTATAGAACATCTGTTTAATTTGCTTAATACCAAACTCAATGAATAAAAATGGCTCCAAAACTAAAAGGGAAACATCAAAAAGCCAACAGAGTAAAGCAGTGATGACAGAATCCATGAACTGTTCCTTAATGAAGCACAGCACTAGGGGGTACACAAGTGAGAAATGGACACTTCACAAATTCTAAAGATAATGTTCCAGAACCAGTCAAGCTACAGAAGAATCCAGAGCACAGATTTATTCTGAGTTTTCGCAAGTCTTCTGAAAGATCCCCCCCCCAAGTTCTTAAGAGTAGCAACCTGATTTATTTATATGAATCTTATTAAATGAGCCTCTACTTTTAACGTGTGCTGGTACTTGAAAACTACTCCTACACTGTTGTCTTGCCAAACTGATGTCATGGTACTCATCAGCTAACCAGCCTACCTCTCTGACACATTTCCATTTAAGCAATTTCAATCTTTTAAGCATTTTCAAAATTCCCTGCCAGTTACAGACTTACTCTCCAGAAATCCATCTCATTCGGGTCCTTAAACCAAGGTTTGTGGAGGACTATCACATTCATTCATTCAACAAGTACTTGTTGAACTGGGCACTCAGACGTTAGGGATACCCTGAACACTCAAGATGTGACAATCTTGGAATTAAGAGCAGGGCCTTGAGGCCAGAGTGGTTTCCTAGGTCTGCCATTTACTAGATAAGAACTTCAATACATGATTCACCCTCTGCCTCATTTTTGTTTAACTGTAAAATGGAGATAACAATTTCTACCTTAGACATATATATGGTAAATGCCTAGGGGAGTACCTGACAGTGAATGTGGAATGTGTTGGCAAGCATCATTATTGATAAACAAGATACAAGGATTTCACACAGCGGTTAGGAGAAGAACACCACAAGAAACGAGAATTTCAGATAGGGAGGGGCTTCTGGGCCACGAAGACTGTCCTGAGGTCGTATCTGAAGTGAGTCTGTACCACATGAACAGTTTGGGGAGAAATTTTAAGCAAAAAGAATAGCCAGTGCAAAGGTCCTAAGGTGTAAAGACCTTTGAGTTGAGAAACCTGGCTGGTGTAGTTGAAGCAGAGAGAAAATTGCGAAGAGGAGATATTGTTGGAGGGGTAGGCAGCAGTCAGATTGAGATCTTTTTGGCCCTGGTTGGATTCATCCTAATTTTAACTGGCAATCACTGGAAGAGTTTAAGCAGATCAGACTTGCGAGTTTAAAGATCACAATTCTCATGCTGGAGAACAGAGCGTTACTAGTTAAGACATCATGGTAATTTTAACTCCTAACTTGTCATAAGGTCACACAACTGTGCTAACTACACGTCCTGTATGTTTCAAAGTGAACCATCTTATTTAATCCTCAGAATAACCCTGTGAAATGGATATTATTACTATTTAGCAGTGAAGAAACAAGCAGAGAGGGGTTACAGAAGCCCTAGCAGGCTAGCCAGTGAGTGTCACAGTGTCTTGGGATTGGAACCCAGGCAGACAAGAGGGCCCTTGCCCTTACAAGAGACACCAAAAGCCTATTTAAAACCATGGGGCTAGGGTGCATGGGTGGCTCAGCTGAGCACCTGACTGTTGGTTTCTGCTCCGGTCATGATCTCAGAGTTGTGAGATCAAGCCCCACATCAGGTTCTCCCCACAGCATGGAGTCTTCTTGAAGTTCTCTCCCTCTGCCTCTCCCCTTCACCCCCTACCCCTGCTTGCACAAATTCTCTAAAATAAATTAATAAATGAAACTTAAAAAAAAAATCTTTAAAACCACAGAGCTGTGTGTTGCCTAAAAGAGTAGATGAAAAAGCTGAAATTGAGTCCTGAAGTTACTCCAAAGTCTGTGACTTAGGCGAGGAGGGGGAGTCAACTGAGATGGAGTGAGGCAGGAGTGTGGTTTGGTGGATGTCAAGAAAAGAACACGAGAAGAACACGTTATCTAAGGAAGGAGAGACAAATGGTGACTGCTGCTGGGAGGTCGATAAAAGATCCGGTGACCTTGACAAGTACCATTTCAGTGGAGGGACAGGGAGACGGCCCAGCAGCAGTGAGCTGACAAGGAAATGGAAGGTGAGGAAATGCAGGCAATGGTTATCAACGTGTCTCGGGAGACAATGATTGGAAGGGGAAAAGAGGATCCTGGGAGGGAGGTGGAGGCCCAAGGGGAAACAAGTGTGATCCTCTGTCCTGTTACTCAGTAGGCGTGGTCACGGAATCAGGGATGTGTTCTGATGTGGACCTGGTACCTGCATATCAGTGGTCTCCCTTAACTAGTGTCCTAGTGTACGTACAGTCCCTAAAGAGGTTACTGTAGAATGTTAGCACGGAAGAAGCACGACTTACTTGTATTCATTTTCAACCATGTTTTCAGGGTCTGCCTGTTCAATGGCTTCCTCAAAGAATTCTTCCAAAGTCGGCATGTATTCCCTGGGTGTTAAAAAAGAACTAGTGAGGACCACGTGTGTTCTTAATAACTACTCCTAAAATGGTGGCAATGAAAGATTCTGATATCACCGACACTTGCGTTAGTTACACTTTAGGAACTCAGATTTTTAAAGGAGGTAAAGGACTCAAAATTGAACTCCAAGAGGACAACAAAGAGGGGCAGTGTGGTACTACACCCTCACATACTTCACTCCCTGTAACGCAGCAGTCACTGGACTCAACTGCAATGTTAATGGTCCAGGGGTGGCCAGGGATTCCAGAACATTTGAATTTCCCCAGCAAGGAGGAAAGTTTCATATCCAATGTCCACATCCAGAGGTGCTTTTTCCTTAAACCAGAATTAATAAAATCCAGACGAATAACCAGACCATATTGAAATTTAAAGAGTTTACCTGTAAGCTTATTTTAGGTCTTTCCCATGAGAGCATGGTTGGTTTTTAATTGCATCTTTCTGGAATTTGGTTTTAGAAATAAGCTTTTGCTAGTCAAGCAAATGAGTATGATCCAAGGGTCTGATTAGAAGACATCTTTGACTAAAACTAGAAAAACGGGCTCTGTCAGGAAAAATCACACAATCTTACTAACTTTCAGTATAATAACACGCTCTCTTAACTAGTAATTATGACAGGCCTTGAAGGTTTCCTTGGAGTTTACCAGTCTTGTATGTGTCCCCCTAGACAAAGCAAGGGAGACACTGAAATCCCAGACTATCACTGATAAGTGCTTGGAACCATTCATTAGATTAAAAATTACTGTATAGCTGACCCTTATACGCTGCGAGCTTGAACTGTGCGGGTCCACTTAATTTGAATTTATTTTCGAGAAATAAAGTACACTAAATGTATTTTTTCTTATGATTTTGATATTTTTTCTCCAGCTTCCTTCACTGTAAGAAAACAGCATATAATACATATAACATACAAAATGTGTTCATCACTCATTTATGTTACAGTAAGGCTTCCAATCAATAGCAGGCTACTAACATTTTTGGGCAATCAAAAGTTACTTGTGCATTTTTCACTGCGCGGTGTTGGCACCTCTAACCCCTGCATTGTTCAAGGTTCAACTGTAGACCATGAACAATCATGACTAAATGGAATGAACCTCGCAGGCGTTGCCATATCTGACTTTTACAAACACTACAAATACAACTCAGGGTGCCTGTGCACTCCTCTCTGATCTCATTCTCTTTCCCCAGAGGTGGCCACTCTTCAGAATTTGTTACTTCTCACTCCTGTTTTTTTTTTTTTTTCTTAATGGAGCATATATAGTTTGAAAGTATCTCAAACTTTTATAATGGGCCCCTGCTTGTAACCTACAACCCTGATTTTTCTTTTTCTTTTTTTTTTTTAAAGATTTTATTTATTTATTCATAGAGACGAGAGAGAGAGAGAGAGAGAGAGAGAGAGAGAGAGAGAGGCAGAGACACAGGCAGAGGGAGAAGCAGGCTCCACGCAGGGAGCCCGACGCGGAACTCGATCCCGGGTCTCCAGGATCACACCCCGGGCTGCAAGCAGCGCTAAACCGCTAAGCCACCAGGGTTGCCCAACCCTGATTTTTCTGATGGAGGTCTGATGCAGTAGTCCTCATACAACCTCATTCTAGTGCCCGATGTATAGCAGTTTGCTACATGAACATGTCACACATCATCCATTCTCCCTTTGATATTCAGGTGGTTTCCCCATTTTTGCTATGACAGTGCTAAACGCACATTCTTGTACCTGTCTCATTTGTGTATGTGAACTAGTTTCTTTAGACACTATGGTCTTCAAACTACCCCTATAACCCATAGTAAAAAATTAATTTTTATTATAACCCAATACACACATAAATGTATGTGTGTATGTAAGAAAAACTAATGTTTCACAAAAATATATTTTCTATTTCACTAAAAAAAAAAAGCTGGTGGCAGCTACTAAACTGACTTCACAAATCGCCGATTCTCAACCTAAAGTTTTAAAAGAACTACTTTAAGATCAACCATTCCAGGAGTGAACTGTCAGACAGAGGGTATGCACATCTGTAACTTTTAGTTACTGCCAAATTGTTTTCAAAAGTAGCTGTACCAATTTAGGGTCCCACCAGCAGCAGTGGCAATTCTTTTACCCACAATTCATACAAAATCTTACACTTAAATTATTGAGTTTCTTGGCTATGAAACTGCCTTTTTTTTTTTTTTTAAAAAAGATTTATTCATGAGAGACACAGAGAGAGACAGAGACACAGGCAGAGGGAGAAGCAGGCTCCATGCAGGGAGTCCGATGTGGGACTTGATCCTGGGTCTCCAGGATCAGGCCCTGGGCTAAAGGCGGTGCTAAACCGCTGAGCCACCGGGGCTGCTTAAATTATTGAGTTTCTTGGCTATGAAACTGCCTGCTGTGGTTTTTAATCTGATTTTATTGATGTTAGGTATTTTTTCTTAGATTTATTAGTTTCTGCTTTTGAAGCTATCACTTTGCCCATTTTTCTATTGGGTTGACTTTTTCTCAGATTTGGCAAGGATCTAAATTTATCAATCAACTTGCTAGAGTTTTAAAAATTTTCCTAGTCTTTAAAAAAATTGTTTCGTTTTGTTGATGCTATTATTTACTATCTTAACCAATTTCTAGTTTTTTTTTTTTTTTTTTTTTACATTCTTTGCAATTCACTTGGTCCAGTGTTAGATTCTTTTTAAAAAAGTTTTAAGTTAGTTAATATACAGTGTAATATTAAGTTTCTGGTGTAGAATCTAGTGATTTATTTATTTATTTATTTTTTAAATTTTTATTTACTTATGATAGGCACACAGTGAGAGAGAGAAGCAGAGACACAGGCAGAGGGAGAAGCAGGCTCCATGCACCGGAAGCCCAACATGGGATTCGATCCCGGGTCTCCAGGATCGCTCCCTGGGCCAAAGGCAGGCGCTAAACCGCTGCGCCCACCCAGGGATCCCGAATCTAGTGATTTAATACTTCCATACATCACCCCGTGCTCATCACAAATATCCTCCTTAATCCCGATTACCCATTCAAAGCATCCTGCCACCCACCTCCCCTCTGGTAATCTTCAATTTGTTCTCTATGGTTAAGAGTGTGTTCCTGGTTTGCCTCTTTTTGTTTCTGCCACCACATTCATTTTGTTTCTTAAATTCTACATATGAATGAAATCATATGGTATTTGTCTTTCTCTACTTATTTTGCTTAGCATATTACATGCTTAGCTCCATCCATATTGTTGCAGATGGCACGATTTCATTTTTTATGGCTGAATAATATTCTATTATAGATAAAGATTCACACCCACCCACCCCATATCTTTATTCATCAGTTGATGAGTATTTGGGCTCTTTCTATAATTTGGCTAGTCTGCTATAAACATTGGGGTTCAGTGCTGGATTCTTAATTTTCAGTTAACTTTGAGTTAAATTTATAGACATTTAAGTTTAAGATATGTTTTCTATTTCTCAAAAGCTTAAGCCTATAATTCCTTGTCATTAATTCTATGTTTTCTAATTTACATTATGATTTCTTCTTTGATTGTGAAGTTATTTAAAAGTACCTGAAAGTTTTAAAAATATATTGTTATTCATGTATTAAACGCATTTGTGTTTTCTGTAAGCCTAAAGCCTGTTAATCGTCTTGTTAAACCCTAACTTTTTTTGACTGAACTTATTAAATACTAAAAGTATTTAGTGTCAAAATTCTAGTAAAACATTTTGCAGAAGTGTGAAAACTGTCAAAATGTTGGATTGGTTAATTTCTCATTCTATTTGTCAGTTTTTTGAGACTATATCCTTTAGAAACAAGGTTTAGAATATATATATATATTTCTGCTCCATTTTTTTTCTTGTATCTTTATGCAATAATTATCTTTATTTTTAATGCTTTCGGCTTTAAGATTCTTCTGACAGATATCAGTATAACTATTCTTCATATATATATATATATATGTTTTAATATATATATATTAGTTTCAACCTTTCCATATACTTATTTTGAAGGTGTTTCTTATAAATAACATATAAATAAATAAATAAATACATAACATATAGAAGGACTTTTAAAAGAGAATACCAGCTTCCATCTTTGAACTAGAAAGTCCATTTCCATTTATTTTTAACTATATTGTTTTATGTGTTCCATTACTTTTTTTAAAAGATTTTATTTATTTGAGGAGGTGTGGTACGTGTGCACACATGAGCAGGAGGAAGGAGCAGAGGGAGAGGTACAATCGGACTCCCTGCTGAGTAGGGAGCCCGAAGTAGGGGATCGATCCCTAGGTCTCCGGGATCATGACCTGAGCCACCCAGGTGCCTCAATGTTCTATTACTTGTTTCTTATGTGTGTTAATCTTGCCTATTTTTGACTGCATGAATTTTCTTATATCCTTTTATCCTCAACTCATTTGAAAGTTATATATTTTCTACATATTCTATTTCTTTTACATACTTTAGTAAGCATGATTTATTATTATTTTTTTTTTTTTTTAAAGATTTTACTTATTTATTCATGAGAGACACACAGAGAGAAGCAGAGACACAGGCAGAGGGAGAAGCAGACTCCATGCAGGGAGCCTGACATGGGACTTGACCCCAGGTCTCCAGGATCACACCCTGGGCTGAAGGTGGCGCTAAACCTCCGAGCCACCCGGGCTGCCCCAAGCATGCTTTATTTAAAGTTGTTATTATCTCTGTCTTGTCTCTAACATTCTTTAATTCTGGTCATTCCCTGTATTATGTTACTTTTATCAAATATTTAGTTTTTACCTTTTAAAATAATCTCCAATTATTTATTAATACCACTTTATATAGGAAATTCTTGATGCGATTTATTCATGTTTATCAGTGTCTTTGAATAGCAATGTTTCTTGCAATTTACTGTGTTTCTGGGTTCAATTTCTTTGACAGCTTCAGTAAGTACTGCTGATAATAGATTTTCATGGTTTTAATCTGAAAATAACTTTATTTCACAATAACTCCTGATTCATCTACCAACTTGTTACTTAACACTTTTTCATAAACCTGTGAAGCGCTATCATTCCAATTTTCTGGTTTCTTTTGTTCTTACAGTTGGCTGTCTGATTTTGTTTTGCAAGTAGTCTGGTTTTTCTCTTTGGTGACTCTACAACAATGTGTAGAGATACAGATTTATTGTTTATCCTACTTAAAATTTGTTTTTCTTGAACCTAAGAATTTATGCCTATTCTCAGTTCTGAGTTCATTATCTCTTTCTTGCTCTCTATTCCCTCATTCTGTGGTTCTTTACTCTCAACTCATATTTTCTAACTCTCGATCCCTCTGACTGCTTTCTGGGTGATTTCTTATTCATTAATTCTAATATGCACCTGTATCTAGTCTGCTATTTAACATGCCTATTAAGTTAGTCTTATTAATTTCAATGACTATATTTTCTCATTGCTAGAATTTTTTTTTTAAATTTCCTTGGTCCTTTGAGAGTATACTACTCCTTTTTAAAATTTCCAATTCTTTCTTTTATGCCTTTAACTATCTTAAATATACTTATTTTAAGCTATCTTTACTTGATGGGTTTTACTATCAGAAGCTGTTGTCTAACTTCTATTGTCTGTTTTGTTTGTCCTATCTGCTGATTCTTTCTTGTGGTGGATTATTAAATTCATAAGGTTGACTATCTTCAGGCTTTTATCTGTAGGATCCTTGTGTGGCTTAGATTGAACATGTGACCTCAGAAAGCTTTGTATCATCAGACTGAGACATCTGAATTCACCTCTTTAGTTAGGGGGTTCCTTTACACTGCTGGTAGGATAAATTTAAACTATAGGACTGTGTGACAGCAGACTTGTAGTTATAATTTCCCCAGCTGTCCTTTTTCCTTTTTACTCACACCTCAGGTAGAAATGGACAAGTTATTTCCTATGCCACTGAGCAAGTCCCTCCTCCCCAATCTGCTCTTCTTTTTATATCTAGTGCAGTGCTTCAAGGGCCCCAGCTTTACTCAAAGGAGACTCAGTTACAAATCTGTGCAGGCTGACGGTCTTCCCTTCTGTCCTTTTGTGGCTCTTAAACCTAAGTTCCCTGGTTCCCCAAAGTGAGAATCATCTGCAAGCTTCCCAGCTAGAAGCAACCATATTGGCTCATGCTTTCATTTTCAGTTCCCTCTTCTTTTGTAAATTTGTACTTCCTTGTGATTTCTAAAACTATTTTATCAGCACTTCTAGGTGTTTCATTGTGGGAAGCCATATTCTGCTATGCCAAAGTCAACCACAATAAATTAATTTCACTCACTTAAAACATTTGAGAAAAGCAGTACCTCATGTGAAACATTTTAAACTTGCCTTGTTTCTGATTTGCAGGCTTCCATATTATCAGGACAGAGATTCCAAAGCCTTGTTAACTCCTCACTACAAAAGAGACACATAAATAAATACATTTTTAATGGACATCATCCTCATATGCCTTAAAGTTGTAAAAATACTTAATTAGTGAATTTTTAGGTGGTGACAAGATGAGTTTTCATTCATTAATTTTTGGTATTATGCAAATTTTCTAGATAGCATATATTCAATGATAACAGTCATTTGTTCTTTCTAAAAATATTCAAGCAGAGTATAAAGCAATGAGTAATTAACTGGAAGGTAATAGAACCTGAAGGATCATGGTACCTTGCAGAAACTGAAGTGAGCTCAATCAATCTAACAGTGATTGTATTATCTGTAACATGGAAAAAATGGCACAGACTAGAGCCAAGGATTCGGGAAGCAAGAGACAAAATGGAAGTTTATGTATCTGCATGAATCCAGGTAATGGGACCTCGAGATTGAGAGTGTGTGATCCATTTTAGTCATCTATGTATGTACCAAACACAAAAAAACTTGAAAAAACACAGAAACTGGAGAAGTCTTACAGTAACATCTTCAAAATATATATATATAAAAAACCAATACCATCCCACATATGGAAGAGACAGGTTAACCTACTTTCCCATCAGAATCTTTTTGTTGGGTCCTTTCCCTAGAAAGTCCTCTGGTGCCGTTCTCTTTCGAGCTACTCTTGTTGGCTTGGTGTCTGATGTTCTGTGGTGAATAAAACACACTGGAATTACAAATGGAGAGCATACATAACAAGTGTTTAATGTAAAAAAAAAATTATTGTTTTTTCCTATAAAAACATAAAAGCTTCCTCTTATTATAGCACACTCATCAGATAGGAGACAAAAATGCCACAACTAGGGGACAAATGGCATTTTTTCAGGAATAATAGATTAATTTGTTCTGGGAACTTAATGACAAGGAATCTGAAAGACGACTAGAAGTAAATCAAAATGGTTGGTTGTATTCGTATAGAGTTCAGTTTATATGAAATACATACTATCTGTACATAATGCAAAATAATGTCAAACTATATTTTGAAATGCCTTTCTTTTCACAGTGTTTGAGATGAGTATATATTTACCTTTCTTTCACAAAACTTGGGCAGCCTTCATTTTTCCATGAGTTCCAGTTTTCTTCAGTGTTTAATATATGCTGAGAAAAACAAAGAAATTACATTTATATAATGAAGGCCTTTGAAATTCTATTTGGTGCTAAGAAGACTATGTAAATATAAAACACATACCTCTACCATCTTTGAAAATCTTTCTCCATCGGGGGGGTTTTCAGATAGTAGCTGTGATTAGAAAGAATATACTAAGCTTTCAACAACTTTCTGCATCATAGGAGTGGTTTGTAGGCAGAGGACCAAGAAGTGTTTGTGGTCTTGTACCTGAGCTTAACTTTATCCTTATTTTCCTATTTGGGGCTGAAACAAAGAAAATTCTAAATTTCCATTTTGTTCAATCATGGGTTTGTTGCATGTTGAACTTACTTGATAAACTGATTTTGTAGTATCTTCAATCCAGAGTGATTGCTCATCAGTTAAAACATAGTTTGAACTAGGGAACAAAGCAATAAAAGCATGCTTGAGTTACAGTAATGTATACTCAATTTTAAGGCTTATATACTATCTTATAAAAACCCAAGGCATGTAACAGGTAAGTTAACCATACTGTAAATAGTGTAAAAAATTACCAAGAACAATCACAAGAGGATTATAAGAGAAAATTCTTGCACTTCATTTAAGATGGCTAGAATTGAAGACACGAAGGTATATAAGGGAGGACACTCCATCAAGTTGATTAACTATGAACAGAGCAATGAATGTTTCCTAAAATAAGAAATTTAATGTTGAATGAAAACCTCTGAGAATATTAACCTATTCCTCTCCATGTTGCACATTCAGATAAAGCATGCTACATTCCTTTAAAAGGCAATCAAAACATAATGAATAAAACCCCCTAAATCCTAGTGAAGGTTGAAGGCAGATCCAAAATGTTAATGGGTGCCATTAATTCAGCTCTCACTATGCACCAATATATAGTGATACTGGTGATCTTATAGTTAGTCAATAAATAGTGATAGACTACTGTGCCAGGAATCTGAGCACTTTAGACGCATTATTAATTCTCAGAACGAGCATGTGTGCTTTATTAAACAGAGATCAGAGATAAAGCTTAAATGCAAACCTAGGTTTGGCTCCAAAGTCCTTGATCTTTCTACCATGCTATATATTAAAACTCAACAATAGAAGGACAAGAAATAACATTTTTGAGTACTTGCTATGTGTCATCTTAAAATCACAAGTCTGAAAGAGTTTAATTGCACCTAGTGAGTCATGAAAGTGGGATTCAAAGCCAGCAGGTAGTAAAGGCACATTTTTCACACAACTAATAAATCCAACACTGTTTTGCAAACTTAAAATGCCAGTGAGTAATGGTGAACTCTACTTTAGTCATGGATAGGACAAGAGGCAGTGGCTTATGTTGCAGATGGAGGTAGCCAGGAAGTAGAGGAACTGATCAGGTTTTCTGAAACCCTAAAGAGACTCGAACTGCTCTGTTCTTCAAAGATTTACTTTACTTTTTTGAGTACTAATGTCCTAGACAGATCCACACCTTGAAAGAGATTATGGGCTTATTAGTCTTCAAATCAGGTTTGGAGAAGGTCTGGGTGAAGTGAGAGGGGAATGGTGGAAGTCTAGAACAGAGATGCATCCACACAACTGAGGACCCCAGGAACCCCAGCGCTCAACAGGAGAGACTTACACTGACAGCAGATATAGTCAACACCTTTTCTCTATAACAAGTACCCTAACATCTAGTATCTTTAACAAAAGCTCCCGATTATCCAGTGTTGCTGCATAAGGAAGGTTTCAGGGATGTGACCCTTATACATTGAATGAGTCTGACACATAAGAGAAATAGATCAGTAAGTGAGTCTTCTTTTAAAAAGGACTGTTTAGAAATCATTTACTACCCAGATTAACTTACCTTTTGAATTTGACCTGTCCCTTGAGATACTGGAATAAAATGAGATATTGCAACAGGATGTGTCGGCGAAAGTTACTGTCGCTCAGTTGCAAATCCATCAACTAGTTGAAAAACAAGCACACACACACAACACAAAACACATTAAATTCAAATTCTTCCTAAAGGTACAGGTATGCTATTATAGAAATGAAAGATTTTATTTATTTTTATTTTTTTTGAAATGAAAGATTTTAATAAAATATTCATCACTGAGGGGCTCATTCAATATGAGGCATTACTGCACAAGCCCTAGGACAAGGGAGCAAAGGCTTCAGATATTTTAACCGTCTTATGCCATGAGATATTTATGTTGGCAGATAGCAATGTTAGATCAGTGGTCCTGAAGTCAAGATAAAGCAAAGCAGAAATATACTTAGGTAAAAGTATGGCTGCCACTTTCTCACATATAAAGAAATGATGGCTAGAGAGAGGTCCATATACAGATAACAAGGGATGCTGGTCATTTTTGTAGCCCTACAAAGTGCCTGCAACAGACCTGCGGCTTGGTAATAAGGAATTACAAGTGAAAAACCATCTGTGAATTAAGTGGATTATTTCCTGCTATTTTAAACAATTTTTAAAAAGGATTTTATTTATTTATTCAAGAGAGACAGAGACAGAGACAGAGAGAGAGAGAGAGAGAGAGAGAGAGAGAGACAGGCAGAGGCAGAAGCAGGCTCCCTGCGGGGAGCCCAATGCGGGACCGATCCCGATCCCAGATCTCCGGGATCACACCCCGGGCTGAAGGTGGCGCTAAACCACCAGGCCACCTGGGCTGCCCTCCTATTTTAGAGAAAATAATATCATACTTGTATTATCACAGAATCTGCATTAGAAAGGACTCGAAGGTCCCTTATGAGGAAGTTTTAAAATAACTATATCCCTAGATGTTTTCTAAGAATGGCCTACACTGTGAAGGCAGTCATTCTCATTATATCCCTAGAGCCCTGAAGCAACGGTGAAGTCTTTATCCACAAACGTGTGCTGCTTTGGCCTTCCAGAGCTTAAACCAACAATGAGAAGCTGCTTATTTTAAACGGATGACCAACTTGCAAGTCACCCGAAAGTCATAGAAATGGAATGCAGTTGAAGGTCCCAAGTCCCTTTGGCTATGTTTCCATCTATTTAACATTCACTGGCCACTCCCCCCCCCCTTTTTTTGTTTTTGTTTTTATTGGAGTTCGATTTGCCAACATATAGCATATCACCCAGTGCTCATCCCATCCAGTGCCCCTCTCAGTGCTCGTCACCTAGTCACCCCATCCCCCCGCCCACCTCCCCTTCCACCAACCCTTGTTCGTTTCCCAGAGTTAGAAGTCTCGTGTTCTGTCACCCTTACTGATATTTCCCACTCATTTTCTCTCCTTTCCCCTTTATTCCCTTTCACTATTTTTCATATTTCTCAAATGAATGAGACCATATAATGTTTGTCCTTCTCCGATTGACTTATTTCACTCAGCTTAATAATACCCTCCAGTTCCATCCATGTTGAAGCAAATGGTGGGTATTTGTGGTTTCTAATGGCTGAGGAATATTCCATTGTATACACAGACAACAGCTTCACTTCCTCCTTTTTAAATGCAACTGGCCTAGGGTGCTGTGTGTCACCTTTGAGACACTCAGTCTTTGATTTTGCTATTTATCATCTTAACTACCCCATGCCAAATTGAATAGTGCAACTCCCCCACATCCTTTCCTGCTACTCCTGAGTGACATCATTATCCCCATCTAGGCTCTCAAGTTCCTTGACTGCTCCACAGACAGGTACAGCCTCTACTGTGGCCCCACTGCCATGGCCAAAAGCTCAAACAGTTGCCTTAGCTCTGAAACCTTGAACTCTCACTACAGCTCCCATTCTTTTAGTCTCCCACTCAGATGTCCCAAGACCTGAGACTTTCAGTACCCTGGACCCTCTGTTTTCTACCGGTCAGTCCCGTTCTGTTTTCACTGTAACCCTATTTTGGTTGAGATAAGGGGTCAGCATACTTTTTTTAGCAGTAAATATATTAGGCTATTTGAGCCAACGGGCATATTGTAAGATACTACACACATACTTCTGTAAACACATAAAATGTAAAAAGAGACAAGCAGTGGGCCAGATTTGAGCTGTGGCTGCAGTTAGCTGACCCTTGGTCCTGACTTTTTGGTTTATCTCTTCTTTGACTTTGAACACTTTGTTGCCAACACTTTGTTGCCAACTTCCACAACACCTTTGTGCCACACTTCCAGCACATCACTGCGCAAACCGGCAACCCCAGATCAAGCTAAGTTACTCAGTGCCCCCTAAAACTAAGGCTTCTCGTGCAGGCTGCATATGGAGCTACTTGAAAGAAAATACAAACCACACAGTTTGCAGATGGTAGGACCGCTATGCTACTGCCTCTGACTTAAAACTGGTCTCTAATCAGCGATCTTTCTTTATTCTCCAAAGCTATTATTCTCTTTTCCATAGCAATTACTACAAACCCTTTCAACTTATCACAAACATTACTTAATTACCCTCTCATTCTCAGTACATAACCACTGCAACCTTCAATGAGAAAAATTTATTAAACTAGAAGTTTGAGCTTTCCCCACATCCTGGTTTCCTTTTTCTCGACATCTTCATTGCTAAAGGCAACCCTTTCATCTGGACATCCAAACCTAAGTTAACTGAGTCCTATCAGCTAACTGTCCTGGTGCCTATACCTTCAATCCTTTCTTTTTCTTTTTTTTTTTTTTTAAGATTTTATTTATTTATTAGAGACACAGAGAGAAAGACAGAGACAGAGAGGCAGAGGCACAGGCAGAGGGAGAAACAGGCTCCATGCAGGGAGCCCGACGTGGGACTTGATCCTGGATCTCCAGGATCAGGCCCTGGGCTGAAGGCGGCCCTAAACCGCTAAGCCACCGGGGCTGCCCACCTTCAATCCTTTCTTCTTTCCCAGCTCCTTTCCATTAGCAATTAAGCAACTTCTCTGAAAGAGATCGTCAGCCTCCCCTCATCCTCCCTGAACAGCCAAACTTTTTCAAAGAACTGGCTACATTCACCGTTTCCAATTCACCCTTCAATCTGCCACGATCTGTGGCTTTCTGGTTCACCAATTCACTGACCATGTTTTTGCCAAGATCACCAACGATTTATTTGTTGTTAGATCCAGTGAACGCCTTCTCCACCCCTCAAACCCCGCTTGGCCCCAAGAACACTTTCTTTTAGAAGTCCTCATCCTACTTGATATGCTTGGCTTCCATGAGGTATATTTTTCTAGTTTTCTCCAATCTCACTGGCTATTCTTCAATCTTCTTCCTCTCCCCTACTACCCCACCCCTTAAACTTAATTGGTTTTTTTTCAGGATTCAGTATGATGTTTTCTTCTCTTTCCACTCTATATTTTACCTTGAATTATCACATACAAGCTGATAACTATACTACGTACCAAATCTATACTCTCATCCTAGATTGTGTTCCTAATCTCCACATCTATATACTTAAAAAAGCTACTACGTATCTCTATTTGAATATTCAACTAACACTTGATCAGATTTCATGTTCAAGGGAAAACACACCAATTTTCGCCACAAAGCTGCTCTTCTCCATTGTTGGCTAATTCAGTAAGCGGCTCCAGCATTGATTTGCCTAGGCATCTCTAGAAAGACTGCTTGGAAAAAGCACAACTATAAACCACAGGAGCAAATCTCTAGTTGGGAGAGTATTCGAGAAGAAACAGAAGCCAAGACTCCGCACCCATAAGAGACTGGCCTGTTTGAAGACCTTAAGTAGTTCAAGCAGTCGGGAGTGAGGACAAACAAGCCTCCTGGCTTGAGAAAATGAACTGAAGAGGCAAGGTGCTGTGTACAACTCTTCATCTACCTCAGGCTTTAATTAAGTCTCCCACATTTATGTTGGAAGATATCTTTGATGGGAACAATGGACTGAAAATAGGAGTTAATAAGATGTAGAATCGGAGGTGGGAAGGGACCAGTGTAATCATTCAAGCTAACATTATACTTATGAAAACTAGGACTTCTGCAAGACCACACAGCTAGTTAGTGACAGAGCTGAGACTAAAACTGACACTCAACTGTACTCTTTCTTCCACAATGTACATTTTCTAGTTCTACTTTTCTTTGGTTATTTAAAAAATTACACCATTTACATCATTCAATGGATCAAGTATTTCTCTGTTGTCTTTGTTTCTAGAACAAAGGGCCTTTTATCATCCTTAGCTTTTTTTTTTTTTCACATCTCAGCTCAGGCGTCAGCACTCCTGATTATTATTCTAAACCTATAAAGGATCATGCTAGTCTTAGTTATCTTTATGTTCCTGCCAATAAATTGTACATATAAACAAGAGTCCTCGTAACAATTAAACTGAAGTATGGAATCTTCCATTTCTGTCACTTCATAGAAAATACTTCAAAAACCTGTACTAGAAAACATATTAAGAGCATTCTCATTAAAATATTACTAATCTGTCATCATTAACACATTAGCTGTATCAAATTTTCAAATTATGAAAAATTTAAAATTTCAAAAAGGTACAGTTAAGTTGTATAATTCATGTTTCCTATCCAGTTCTATATCAAATCCTAACATTTTTATTTGTTCCACATTTGTTAAACAAATAGTTATTATCCAAACTAGTGAAGCATCTGTAACCTCCCTCTTTGCTCCCCCTCTTTCCCTCTACTATGGTAAATGCTACCATGTATTTGGTGTTTTATGGTTCTAATGCACATTTTACACTATTGCTACATAAATAGGTATCTATAAATAACATATTGAGGTATTTTGCAAGTTTTCAAACTCTATGCATATTATTCTGCAATAAGCTATTTTCACAGGACATTATGTTTGAAATTTATACAACTTAATACATGTATCACTAGTTCAGGGGTTGGAAAATTTCTGTTAAGGGTAATCAGCAAATTATTTTAGGCTTTGTGGATCATACAGTCAGTCTCCATTCCAACTACTACCTGCTGCTGTGGCAATGAACAGCAGCCACAGACATGTGGATGAATATATAGCAGGGAATATATAGCAGCTCCAATAAAACTCATTTATAAAAATAGGTGATAA